TGTCCAGAATGACGGTCGAACTGTCGTCAGAGCTTCTATACAGTATATGGCCTGACTGATGAACTCTCATCAATTTAGCCAGAAAACTCCGGTTTCACAAAATTAGCCCACACTGCATCCAACAATGCCTTACAAAAGTAAAGAAACAATCGTTCCTACAAAGGATGCGTAGGTCAGTTTATTTTCATAAATGCAAAACCAACTTTTGTGTCCTCTGAAGAGATAAGGTAGAAAAAACTCTGCCTTATAACAATGCTCGCTTATAGCACAGCCCCCACTAACGTCAGATGTTGATCCGGCAAAACTGTCCAACAGGCCGCCTAAACATCTATTCTCCCGCCCAACTGTCTTACAAAATTGGTAGTGAAACATTTACTACTTGTTATTTGGAGGTTTGGCAGATTTGCTCAAATTAAGCAAATCTGCCATTCTGGTGGATTCTGGATGATTGTTTAGGAAATTCTACTTGGGCAGTCAGCTTGCTATTCCGTATTGGTAAATTGCATACGAGAGGTAAAGTTGGGCGGTAAAATAGATCCAAGTGTGATTATCTGCATGGCGCGAGATGGGGCGTTTGTAGCTCAAGTGGTTGGAGCGTTGACGTTCGGTAAAGACCTTCTCTACTATGCGGGTTCAAATCCCACCCAACGCCTCGCGTGTTTTCAAAATTTGGTCAACTCAAATGTCATTCTTGGTTAATGACTGTAAAGGAATATGTACTTGTGTTGAAAGTGCTCAAAGGGATATTAAATCAAAGTCACTCATAGTTGTTTTAATGGGCTAAATAAAATCAATTCCATCGACATAAACTTCGGTCACCAAGGTTACTGATGCGTATTGATGGAAATTCGACCGCATATTGGCGGAATTAAACGGAAAAGGGACAATCGCGCTATTTAAAATAAATCAAAAGCGAATAGGACTTCCAAAGGCAGTCTTACCAGTGACCCTTAGCATATAGGAAGTGTCTTTTTATATTAAAAATATCCGAATTTGCTCAATTCTAGCTTGTTTTTTCCTCAAAAAATGATCTGAAGCCAACCCTTCGCTGGTAGCTAGTTTTTTGCGCCCAACATCAATCCAATAAGCAAAATTAACAAATTCAAAGGTGTGTTAATAAACCTCCTCAAATTTCAGTCTTGTCATTTCAAGAGTTAAACAATTTTTTTAAGATGTCACAGGCTTCATATATGCCCACTTTTAACAACATTGCAGAGATGTCTATAGTGGGTTCCATTGCACTCCAGGCGTCAGCGTCACCAAAATAGCTTTTATTTGAAAAACTAAAAACAACCGGGATGGCCTACGTTAAGGGAGGAAAAATAGCAAAATTTCAATAAGTTAGGGTTTTTAACTAACAATTCTGAGTAGCATGTTCTACAGTTTTATACAACGCAGTGTGGAAATGTTAGTAAATGCAATGCTCAAAAGATGCCACATGAGCAAATAGCACATGAACACCATTTTCCATACATCTGATATAGTTGATTAAGCACTTTCACAAGACTTCGGTGGCACTGGTGTCGATGAGGAAGCTGAGGCCAGTGATGGGGTGACGTGGGGTTGAGTAATTGTGGTTGCAAGTAGCTGTACTTGTGAGACTGGCGTCATCTGCTGCGGCACTTGCGTTGAAGTTACAGTGGGTTGTACCGGGATCTGCGGTGCCAACACTGGGCCTGGCTGATTCACCTTAAGGGGAGTTGAAGCCAACGTTGGCGGATCCGAGAAGCTGGGATAAAAGGGCATTGAGAGGATAGGGGCGGAGATCAATGATAGACAGGACGGAAGCTCGGCAAAGGCTTTATTCTCAAAGAAGGCAGCACTCTGGATCAGAAAGTTGGCTGTCAGCCTCAGACAACTGGCGATTATGGTATTCGGTGGGTCGGGAAGAGGCCAGGTCTCGTTGAGCTGACTAGCCTCCGCCGACGGCTCATTAAACTGAAAAGACAAAATAGAACCCTGATGACATCCACCACGATCTTGTACAAAAATAAAGTTGGCAAAGTGCTCTTTCAAGGAACGCCTACAACTCGATAAGCACCACTCACCATTGGCATAGCTGGAAGGGTTTGGTTCAGACCAGTTGATGCTAGAACAGCATCACAAGCCTTCATTGGCACGGGCTGTTGTTGAGTTTTCTCGTTTGTCGAAGTGCCTCCACGAAGGCTCAGGTTAACGGCAGAGGTGAGGGGGTTGGATGCCTTTTGTGACTGCTCGAAGGGCATGGAGATGACCGGCATCAAAATATTTGACGCCTTTGCAGTATCATTTGCTGGTACAGTTTTTGCAGTGGACTGTAAGGGCTGAAGATTCTGGTGAAAGTCAGGAAATGCATGTGAATGGTTAGAGGCAGCAGGCGAATGCAAAATAAAACAAGAAAATCATCGATTGGCCTTGAAAAAAAATAAGAATTTGGCTAAAGTCCCTTTTTTCCCCTTTTATAACAACCATTTTGCGGGCTGCCATAATCAGCATCAGTACGAGTGGTTTACAAGACGTGATATACGCCTTTCAAATTTGCAACAGACCCAATCCTCCTATTTTGTTCGTTCGTTCATTGATTCAGTTAGCTGATTTCTGCATGGCTCAGGTTGTTGCAACTGAACAGAGTGAAAAGTTACAGCCCAATCGATGACCACCTGGAAATTTTTGAGCTTCTTAGGCAAAAGTTCGAAGAAGGACAACAAACGTAACGGAGGCCGAATTAGCAACTATTGCCGATTTCCTATTCCACTTATTATTTGGTTGACACTAAAGCTTGGATACCAGCCGATCATTGAAATCCCTCCTCTGCCGCCAGCGGCTTGGTCCATTACTATCAAAAGTGGCACAATCAGGACATAAATGTGCATTCCGACTCATAATTTCCATGCCAGATGTGCTCCGATTGGACTACAAGGATATCTTAACGTTGAACATGAGCGCGGAGACTGCCAAAACTTCATAAGAAGTACGTCAACTCCCGAGTATTCACTCTAAAAAAGCAAGTTTACAAAGAAAGTTAGGAGCAAACTACAGTAGACGCCGTTGATCATGCAATATTTCAACATATGCGAAAGACTAAT